CTGTCACCTCACTGCCATTTCTATGGTGTTAGACTGAATTTGATAGCATTTCCTCATCAGTTCTAATTTCTTTTGACTTCTATAGTAGAATTACTTCAACTCAAGTGAAGAAAACATGAAGATTTTATGGTAGGAAAAGGCAAAACAAATTAAAAAAAAAAAAAAAAACCTTTTTTAATTATCATTAAACGTGAAGAATCCAAGCACGGCAGTCCAAACCTGTAACCTCGGAACTCAGGAGGCTGAGGTTAGGAGGATTCTGTGAGTTCCAGACCAGCCAGCCTGTGATACAGATCAAAACTGTGGAAACAACAAAACTGGTGGTGGTGGGGGGTGCTTAGTGAGTAAAGGTGCTTGCTGCATAAGGCAGTGACCTGAGTTCAATCCCTGAAATCAAAGACTTTAGTTCATGTGAGTTGAGATTTGAATTTCAGTCTCCCAATAGATGGAAGACCTTTTTAGTATACTTTGAGATGTTGGTGAAACAGGATTAAAATGATTTTTTTTTAATTTCTTAATTTCTTTCTGTCTGTTAACCCCAGGCTGTAAGACTGGAAAGTACTTACCAGAATCGAACACGGTATATGGTAGTGGTTTCAACTAATGGTAGACAAGACACTGAAGAAAGCATTGTCCTAGGAATGGATTTTTCTTCTAATGACAGGTATGGTGCCCTAAAAAGTGGGGGATGGGTGGGAAAACTACTTTTTAAATAACCTGTTGCAGTTATTGAGTTACTACAAAATTATCTTGTATAGTTATGCTCTTAAATTTCAAGAATAAAATGGGACAAGAGGAAGGTAAGAGGGAGAGTTAATATGATCAAAACTCTTGATGTATATGAATGATAATGTCATGATTAAACCTGTTATTTTTTACAATGAAGGCATGCTGCTGAGATTTTTAAGTTAAGAAACAATTTATGGGCGCTGGAGAGATGGCCCAGCAGTTAAGAACACTGGCTGTACTTGCAGAATACCCGGGTTCAAATCCCACACCCACATGGCAGCTAACAACTATCCGTAATTCCAGACCCAGGGGATTAGACAGCCTCTTCTGACCTCTCCAGGCATTGCATGGCACAGGTGCACTTACCTACATGCAGGCAATACATGTATACACATAAAATAAAAATAATAAAATTTTTAAAAAATTTATGACTGCCAGGCGTGGTGGCGCACACCTGTAGTCCCAGCATTTGGGAGGCAGACACAGGCAGATCTCTGTGATCAAGGTCAGAAAAAAAAAAAAAAAAAAAAAAAAAAAAAAAAAAAAAAAAAAAAAAATAAAAAAAAAAAAAAAAAAAAAAAAAAAAAAAAAAAAATTATGACAAGCTGAGGAAATGGCTTAGTTGGTAGAAGTACTTGCCTTGCAAGCATGAGTACCTGAGTTCAGTCTTTAGCACCCATGTAAAGTAGAGGCACAGCAGCATGTGCATGTAACTCCAGTGCTGAGGAGGTGGAGGCAGGAGACTCCTGGGACTTGATAACCAGCCTAGCTGAATCTGTAAGATCCAATTCAGTGAGAGACATTGTCACTAAGATAGAGAATAACTGAAGACACCTTCTGTGGGAAGACACCTCTGGCCGCCACATGCCTCCGTACAAACATATGAGCACACCTGCACATGTAGCAAACATACGCCCCAAAATTTTTTTTCAAGGTATGAAACCAGAAAATAAATTCTGGCTGGGCGTGGAGGTGCACACCTTTAATCCCAGCACTTGGGAGGCAGAGGCAGGCAGATCTTTGAGTTCCAGGCCAGCCTGGTCTACATAGTGAGTTCCAGGACAGCCGGGGCTACAGGGAGACCCTGTTTCAAAAAAAAAAGAAAAATTCTGGCCTGGCCACAATTTTCAGAGACAAGCATGTTTAGTGAATGTCTTTGGAGGTATATTTCTAATTTACAGCTATTCCTTACTTCTCATTTTTTTTCTCATCTTTAGGTACTAATGATTTTAAGCAAGTGGTCTAAACTTTTTTTTTTTTTTTTTTGGTCTTTTTTTCTATCAGGCTGACCTTGAACTCACAGCCTCTACCTCCCAAGTGCTGGGATTAAAGGTGTATACCACCACGCCTAGCTAAGTGGTCTGAACTTTTTATTTCCAAGGGGAGAAGGCTGCTTTTTCTTACCAGTCTACTGTTCAGATCAGCATGATCCTAGAGCATATACCTTTCATGGCAGTATACCAATGATGCTGGAGAAAAAAAAACAAAGCAGAATTTTTTTTTTTCGTCTTTTTGAGACAGGGTCTCTCTGTAGCCCCAGCTGTCCTGGAACTCACTATGTAGACCAGGTTGGCCTTAAACTCACAGAGATCCGCCTGCCTCTGCCTCCCGAGTGCTGGGATTAAAGGCGTGCACCACCACGCCTGGCACTAAAGCAGAATTTTTTTTATACCTTTGGAATTGGCTCTACTTTGCTTCCTGTGATTAAAGATACCAAACACAGAGCCTGGCTTTTTTTGTTTGTTTTTTGTCTTTGGGGTTTTTTTTGTATTCTTATTTCCCTACACTTTCTGAAGAAACCTTGGGGAGACTGTGGAATGTGGCTGCTAAGCAGATCTTTACACTCTGAGATAATAAGCCTCAGGAAATCCTGCCAGATGTCTCAAACCATTGACTTCCTGGTTCAGGAGGAGAATGGAACTGTGGGATAGATAAGGGTGTGACCCAGGCTTGGGGGAATTTAGCCACACAAAATAATGTGGAGGGGGCGGAGGGTTTAGTTCTGCTGTAGAGGAATTGCCTAGCAAGCTCAAAGCCCTTTGTTGGGGGGAGCGGTGGGGTGATTATAATTATCCTTCTGATGTTGGGGAGCAGGGAACTGCATTATCACTAGAAAGTTTCCAAAACCAGTGTTTGCTTGAGTTTGTACATAAAAGTCAACCTGAAGAATGACTGAGTTCAAAGGATCACAAGGTCAGAGTTGTTAGTTTATATACCACTTCCAGCATTTAATTATATGTTCTGCATTTACAGAGGCTTGTAAACCACTTTTAGGAAGCATTCTCTTGCAGTTTTAACTACTGGTGTTTACCTAAGCAGCAGACATTTTAGTATCTTTTTTCTTGTAAGAAAATACTCATTTTGTGGGCATGGTGACATGTTCCTGTAATCCCAGTGCTCTAGAACCAGAGTCTGAACCAGGATCACGGTGAATTTGAGGCCAGTCTCTTCTACATAGTGTATTTCAGGCCTGGCAAGGCTACATAGCAAGACCATCTCAAAGGAGTAGATGAGAGAGAAATACGTACCTTATTCACTATTAGAATTTTATGACCTCTGATTTGGACTTTTGCATCTCTAGAATGGTGTTGTCTAGTACATTTGCCACTAACCATCCATAGCTATTTAAATAAAGATTAAAATAATGATATATAAGTAAGAAAATTAGTTTCTCTGACATTCCTAGTCACATTTCATGTACTTAGTAGCTACATGTGATTAATGGAGCAGTATATGTATAGGGTATTTCTATTATTACAGAAAATTCATTTGGCCAGCCCTGCTGTATAGCTTATATTTCTTTTGTTCAAGTCTCCCTGACCCCTCCCTTGAAAACCCTGAAGAACAGGAAGGAACCAGAGCTGCAGGGAAACTTCAGTTGAGTCTTCCCCTAGAGACAGAAAGCAGTAACTGCAGATTCTTTTAACTCAAAATCTTGAGCAATCAAGATGCCTAATCTTTCTTCTTTTACTTTGTCCTAAACTTTACCAGAAAGAATGTTAATGGATGACTAGTAATTTATCCTCAGTGAACTGCATCAGTCCGCTCAAATAGTCCTGCCTGTGTCACTAACAAAAGAAAAATTTAGTGTACATAAAACAAAACAGGGGGGCTGGAGAGATGGCTTAGTGGCTTGGAGCACAGGCTGCTCTTGGAGAGGACCCAGGTTCAGTTCCTAGCACCCACATGGAGGGGATCTGAATCCCTTTTCTGATTTCCTCAGGCATTGCACAACGTGGGTGCACTTGCATTAGGGCAATACACTCATACACGTTGAATGAAAATAATAAATAAAATATTTTTTTAATGACATGAAAAGCAAGAAACTGATTTTCATTACTTGTTTGTAACCCTTGTAAAATCCTGTACATCTTTTGTTTGAATGTGCCTGTTGGACATTAAGAGCAGTGCTGCTGAACTAGTGCTCAGATAACCTCAACAGCTTGAGGGAATTTATGTCATTTCATACATCAGAACATGAAAAGCTAAGGTTTTGAAACAATATTAAATCAAAGTAGAAACCAAATTGTTTGAAGTACAAGTAGTTATGTTGTAGCCAATTTATTTAGCTTATTTTGATTATTTTGTTGTAATTTAAGTGACAGATTATTCTAATATACAGTGTAACCTTGTTTTCCAAAATACACGTGGTAGACTTCAAGTGATAAAATAATAAAGCTTTGTGGCCTGGTTTTGCTTGTTTGTTGCCATTTTTTTTTCCCTTGAGAAAAGGTCTTACTTTGAAGCCTAGGCTATCCTTGAACTCACAATCCTGCCTTAGCCTCCTGAATATTGGAGTGTTACAAATGTGTGTCACCATGCCAACTCTAGTTTTATTTTTGTTTGTTTTAAAGGTTTTTGTGGAGTTGGAGGGATATGCATGTAGGCCAGAAGAGAGTGTTGGATCCCTGGAGCTGGCAGTTATGAGCCACCCAACATGGGTACTGGGAACCAAACCTAGATCTTCTGGAAGAGCAACAAATGCTCTTAACTGCTGAGCCATCTCTTCAATCCCTTTTTTTTTTTAATCTCTTGGTACCCATAACATCTTGAAGTGTCCAGTACATAGTAAGCACTAAATAACTATTTGTTGAATGGGATGAGTAGATAATCACTGAGACCTGAACACAAGCTGAAAATATGAGGTTGTCAGTTGTCAGAAGATCAGCTGACATCAGGTCACAAACTCATAGATCACAATCTCAATCTTTGGTACTTTCAGTATCTTCTGTAGTTACCTGATGTCTAGGTAATGTCTGTCACTTGGCTATCAACTCTTCCTTCATATTTATAGATTCCAAATTGTACTGGCTAAGCATATTTTAATAAATTCCTGGATAACCCCACTCCATTGTGGGAAGCCATTTTCTCTATAAAAATCAATCTAACTCACTCACAGAGTCTGTCATGATGACTGTGCCTTTGGTATTCAGGCCCAGAATTCCAATGTGGAACCCTATTCAGCTCTCTTAAGCTCTGGAATTAATAACAGAGTGTAGGAACTGTAGTGAGGAGCCAGGTGCTAGCATTCCTTAGGTTGGCAGTGATTTCAGCAGTTTGCATTTGGTATTCCTTGTATCTTAAAATCATTTGCATCTTCTTGTCTGATACCCCATACCCCACATCCCTTTCAGATGGATTAGAGCACCTACTATAGGTTCATATTCAGTGTATTTTGCAGTGCAGTATATTCACATATATTATTTTAAATCTTTTTTTTTTTTTCTCCTCTTTCTGGTTTTTTGGGACAGAGTCTCACTACATAAGGCAGGCTAGCCTGGAACTCACTATGTAACTCAAGACTGGTCTTGAGCTCACAATTCTCCTATCTCAACCTCTGAGTACTTTGTAGGCATGTGCCACCTTACCTAACTTTACTTCAATCTTTATGATAATCCTGTGAGGATAGGTTTTGTTATCTACATTTAAAAATGATGTTAAGGCTGAGAAAGGTTAAATAACTTGTCAGAAGGAGTTTCAATATTAAAAGAGCACAAATCCAGATGTTTTGGCATAGTAAATAATAAATAGAAATTACTGTTATGTTTAGGCACTCTTGCATTTTTTAAAATATTTTATTTATTATTTTTATTTTATCTGTACGAGTATATTACCTGCATGTATGTGAGTGCACCCATGTTGTGCAATGCTGCGGAGGCTTCAGATTCCCCTGGAACTGGAGTTAAGGATGGTTCATAGCCACCACATGGGTGCTGGGAATCAAACCCAGGTCCTCTGCAAGAGCAGTCAGTGCTCTTAACCACTGAGCCATATGTTTTTAATATACTTAAAGCAGTACAATAAAGGTTATTTCATCCCACACTTATAGATGAAAAGATGAGCACAAAGCAATTAGCTAATTGTCTAAAATGATCTACTTAGGGGCTGTATCAGTTATTTTTTTGTTGCTGTGATAAAACACCATGACCAAGGCAGCTTATAGAAAGGAAAAGTTTATTTGGCTTCTGGTTCCAGAGGGCTCCAAGTCCAGCATGGCAGGAGGCATGGCAGGAGGTGGCTGGAGCAGAAAGCTGAGTAGTCACATCTTCCAGGAGGCACAGGAAGCAGAGAAAGACAGAGGCTGGAAATGGAAGGTGACTGAATTCTCAAATTCCACCCCCAGTGACATACCTCCTCCAGTAAGGATGCACCTCCTAAACCTCACAAAAACAGCACCACCAACTGGGACAAAACATTCGAACACTTGGAGCCTATGAAGGACATTCTCATTCAAACCACCACAGCTGAAGAATAGTTCTAGGGCAGAGCCCTTGCCTGGCATATACAAGGCCCTGGGGTCTTTCCAGGCACTAGAAGAAAAGTTATTACTAGAACCCAGGTTCCGGAGCCCATCCAACCTAAGAGCCTGTGCTCATAACCATGCTGTGTTCCATTCCCATGTCCAACATTCTTTCTCCTGTACTGTGCTGCCTTTCTATACTGTCCCCTGCATTGGGAGGGATGTAGGGGAGAATTGGTTTAAGACATTCTTAGGGAAGAGCTAGAGAGATGGCCCAGTAGTTAAGACCCAAGTTAGTTACCAGCACCCATGTCTGACACCTCTGTTCTTCACCAGCACCTGCCCTCACATACGAAGACCCACACACAGACACACACAAACGTATAATTAAAAATGGTATTGGCTGGGCATGGTGGTGCACGCCTTTAATCCCAGCACTCAGGAGGCAGAGGCAGGCGGACCTCTGTGAGTTCTAGGCCAGCCTGGTCTCCATTGCAAATCCAGGCCAGGTGGGGCTACAGGGAGACCTTGTCTCTCAAAAAGACCAAAAAAAAAAAAAAAAAAAAAAAAAAAAAAAAAAAGACTTTTAAGATGGTATCACTGTGTAACCCTGGTAGGCCTAGAATTGGATATGTGGACAAGGCAGGCCTTAAACTCACAGGGACCCTCCTGCTTCCCAAGTTCTGAGGTTTAAGGTGTATACCACCAAGCTTAGCAAAAATTTAAATCTTTAAAGACATCCTTGAGAAAAGGAGGTAAGTGGTAACAGCTGTCAGAGAAGTGATGTGACAGAACACAGTTGATCAGGAGTCCATGGCTTCCTGTACCAACCTATTAATTTAAAGCCAGTTTCCTTCCTAGGCTAATGTGTTATGGAACCCAGGGCCTCACCCATGCTAACCAAGTACTCTACCACTGAGTTACATCCCCAGGCCCTGGAGCAATGTTTCAGTATAGCATGCATGGTAGGACTGCCAGGTTTTTGTTTTGTTTTGTTTTGGTTTGGTTTGGTTGTTGACATTCCTGTTAGCATTTCAGCAGTGCTAGTTCATTGCATAGCTACCAAGCATTATTTTGCTGGATGTGATGACACACACCTGTAATCTCAAGATGGAGAAGGCTGACACTTGAGATTTTCAGGTTCAAGGCTAGCCTGGACTATATATTGAGACCCTCTCTTAAAACAAAGCACAGAACATATGAACTCACAAAACAAGCCCCGTTTTATTTAAGTTGTATTTTTTTTAATTTTTTTTATTTTATGTGTATGAGTGTATTGACTGCATGTAGTAAGTGCAGTCTTGCAATGCCTGCAGAGGACAGAAGAGGCTGTCAGATCCCCTGGAACTGGAGTTATGGACAGTTGTTAGCTGCCATGTGGGTGCTGGGATTTGAACCAATGTTCAAAGTCAGTGTTCTTAACCACTGAGCCATCTCTCCAGTCCCAGTTGTATTTTTTTTCTCGAATTTGATAACAAGCCATCAACTATTATATCTTTAGATTTTAAAATTCCTTTTCCTTTTTAGTGTATTCTATTGTTCAGTAAATCTTACAATTGAACAAATCATTATTCCAAGGTCTTCAGCAACCAGCAATAGTTCTTGGCATTAGAAATAGTGGGGCCAAGCATGGTGGTACATTGCTGTAATCCCAGCACTTGAGAGATAAAGGCAGGAGTTCAAGGCCAGCCTTCACTACATAAGTAATTTTGAGGCCAGCCTTTGCTACTTGAGACCTTGTCTGTGCCCCACTCCCTCCCCAAAAGAAAAAGATATAATCCTTAGAATTGAGTTGGATGCTGTATTCTGGGCTAAAATCTGCCAAACGCAAGTCAGCAGGAATCACTTGAATTTTTTTTTAATATTTTATTATTTTTATTATTTTATGTGTATGAGTGTATTGCTTACATGTGAGTGCACCCGTGTTGTGCAATGAGGCGGAGGTTAGAAGAGAGCTTCGGATTCCCCTGGAACTGAGTTAAGGACGGTTCGTAGCCGCCATGTGGGTGTTGGAAATCGAACCTGGGTCCTCTGCAAGAGTTAGTGCTCTTAACTGCTAAGCCATCTCTCCAGCCCCCAAATCACTTGAATTTTTAAAGATAGTAACTTGAATTCTTAAAGATAGGAAGTTCAGTCAGGTTTTCTTCCTCTCTCCCCCCCCCCCCCCCCGCCCTCTCTCTCTCTCTCTCTCTCTCTCTCTCTCTCTCTCTCTCTCTCTCTCTCTCTCTCTCATCTCCAGGGTCTCACTATGTAGCACTGGCTGGCCTGAGAACTTGCTATATAGATCAAGCTGGCCTCAAACTCACAGATATCCCCCTGCCTCTGCCTCCTGAGTGCTAAGGACCATCTGTCTTAAGCAAATTCTAAGAACGTGCATGGGATTTATAATAATATGACAGACATTTCTTCTATTCTAATATTTATGCCACAGTTTATTGCTTAGGGGTTTATCCTTTGTGTTGAAAGAATTAATAAACAAAGACTGCTTCCCAGAATAACAGGAAGTAAATTAAAGATTATTTCTTGCCTTGCAGTAGCACTTGTACCATGGGCTTAGTCCTGCCTCTCTGGAGTGACACCCTGATTCATTTGGATGGTGATGGGTAAGAGCTTTCCCTTTTTTACTCTCCTACAGAAAGCCTAGGGTGTACAAATCCGTCTTAGTGGCTCATTCATTCAGCTGAATGGGAGGCCCAGTGTGCCTAACTAAACTGACATGTCAGCAGCTCAGTGAGTCCTTTTAAACTGCTGCTTTGTGAAGTGGAGTAAAATACAACTTGCCAGGGTCTCTCACTTCTGTTCTTTTAGGCTGACCATGGTAGGAAGCCAGACAAAGAAGAAGTAGTTTGTTGGCTCACCCTTCAGTGTAAACATGTGGGACTGCTGTTGCAATGCTCTCCCAGAGGAGGATATGTTCTGTTTCAAATAACCTCTTGTAGCCTCTGCCAGCTGTCAGCCTGCAATATAACCCCTTTCCTGTGCCAGTTACCCACCCCCCACCTCCTGGTGTATTTAGAATGTGTCCCCAAGAGACTACAATGTTTGCTACAATTTGTAAAACCAAGGTCAGGTTTGCTAAGAATCCAAAATACTTCCAAACAGAAATACACATCGGAACAGAACAGTTTGTAGCTTCATCCATAAAACTGTCTGTAATTCCCTAATTCCAGTGTGAGATTCCATTCATTTTACCTGGTAGATAAATCAGAAAAATTGTTGAAGCTTTTCAGTCATGTACTACTTCTAGCTAATTTCAACATAGCATATCTGTGATTTCTTCTGTTTAATCAGCTGTTTCAGCAACCTTGAAAACTCAAACTTGAAATACCCAACCCTTATTCGTAGACTTTTGTCTTGTTCTCTTTTGTTCTTAGTGGGTTCAGCGTATCAACAGATAACAGAGTTCACATATTCAAACCAGTATCTGTGCAAGCAATGTGGTAAGATGGCTTTAATATCTCTATAATAAAGTTTTTGGGTTTTTTTTTTTTTGGCTATTCTACAAAAGTTTTTTAATGTTATTTGAAATGATACAATTCACTATAAAAATACTATATTTGTTACTATGGGATTTTTTTGTGATTTGTTTGCATTTGTGATCATAGTCAAAGATGAAATAGAAATAGAATTTCTAGAAGGAGTAGAATTTTTTAAAAATTGTCACAGTGGCGACTAGAGAGATGGCCCAGCAGTTAAAAGCACTGGCCGCTCTTGCAGAGGACCCAGGTTCTGTTCCCAGTAACCCCCCATGGTGGCTAACAGCCATCCGTAGTTCCAGGGGATTCAGCACCCCCTTCTGACCTCTGTGGGTATTGCATGACACAATTGCACTTACATATATGCAGACAATACACTCATATACATAAAATAAAAATAATAAATAAAAAATATTTTTTTAAATTGTCAAGGGAGCCAAGTGTGGTGGCACATGCCTTTAGTCCCAGCACTTGGGAGGCAGAGGCAGGCAGATCTCTGTGAGTTCAAGGCCAGTCTGGTCTACATAGGAAGTTCCACGCCAGCTGGGACTACAGGGAGACCCTGTCTCAAAAAAACAACAAAAAAAAAGTTGTTGAGGAACAAGTAAAATTCTGAAGTACTCTTAGGCTCTAGAGTGATGTAACAGATCAGATAGCTTGTTGGAACTGTGTTTCACACTGACCACATTACTTAATGTGAGAGCCAAATCTAAAACATCTTTTTGCTATGCTCTAGCTTTCAGTTTCCTAGGATAATCAGGGGTAGCATTGAGTTGTGTTATAAACAGATACATTTCCATTTAAACTGCTTCCAACATTATGCAAGATGCTTTACGTGGCTTATATTTAATCATTTTACCAGTGCCACAAAGTAGTATTGCTAGTCCCCTATTGTGGATAAGAAAACTGAGGCAATACAAGAGTTATATAACTGACCTGAAAGTATCTTGTTTATTTAGACAGAATAAGACTCATTCTTGTTGGCTTATCTACAAAGAGGGAATAATGAAACTTGCAGATCAGAGTTCATCCCCTAGTCTTTAGCTTCTAGGACCTGAGATGGCTCAATTAGTAAAGTGCTAAACAGGCAAGCATAATAACCTGAATTCTGCTCCCCAACACCCATGTTAATGCCAGGCACAGCAATGTATATCCATAACCCTAGTGCTGCAGGGGCTTAGGAGGACAGCAGGCAGATCCATGGAGCTTGCAGACAGCCAGTCTAGGTGAAGCCACTCCAGGTCCAGTGAGAGGCCCTATCTCAAAATAAGGTAGACAGCAACTGAGGAAGACACCCAGCATTGACCTCTGGTCTCCATATGCATAGGCACACATGTTCATGCATGAACACACACAAATTCAAACACACATGAACACAGAGACCACTTACATGTACACGAATAGCTTCTGCTTCTCACTGTAGAGCATGTTCTGTAGTAGGAGTCCCCAGAAAGGTTAGAGTGGTCAGAAGGTGAGCAAAACAGATACACGAGCCTGAATGTGAATATCAGAAGGGATAGCATTTAGGTGAGTGGAGGCCTAATAGTCATTGAACAATTAGCTTTCTTCTCATTTCATGTAGTAATTGAGGTGGGACAGAGTTTTAGGTCATGTGTTTAGACTTCATGTATAAATTTATAGCATATTTCACAAGTGATTGTTTTTGGATTTTTTTGGGGGGGTCCTTTTGAGACAGGGTCTCCCTGTAGTCCCAGCTGTCCTGGAACTCACTATGTAGACTAGGCTGGCCTTGAACTCACAGGGATCCACCTGCCTCTGCCTCCCGAGTGCTGGGATTAAAGGCGTGCACTACCATGCCTGGCAAATGATTGTTTTTTAATGTGTATGAGTATTTTGCCTGCATGTATATAAGTGCACATGTGCATGCAGTGTTCACAAAAGCCAGAAGAGGGTGTCAAATCCCATGGAACTGGAGGTAAAGACACTTGTTAGCTGCCATATGGGTGCTGGGAACCAAACTCTGGTCCTTCACCAGAGCAACTAGTGCTCTTAACCACTGAGCCATATCTCCAGCCCCTCACAAATAAATTTTCATGGAAAACTTCAAGGACCTCCTTTGACTAATACTCCATTAAAGGCAACTAGCCTGTTTATTCCCATGTGCAGTAAGACTGAACAGCAGTGTACTATAAATAGCAGTGTTTTCAGTGTTTGAAGAGTAAGACAAGTGGCCTTAATTCAAGTAATAACCTCGGATCAATCATTGATATTTTGAAATAAACTGACTAGTCATAGTTCTTTAAAGTTTGGGAGAGTATTGGGTTGAAAGTCATAAGAGAGAAAATAGGTGATGTGAATCAGAATGGCATTTAGACCAGGTGTTTCCTTCACAGGAAAATTGTTACTGCAGCCTCCCACTCCTGTGTGAAGCCACAGTTTCTGAAACAAGTAGGCACTGAGTATATTTTACAGCAATTACAACAGACTGTAGTGTATGGTTTTAAAGCATGTGTTTTTTCTAGATGAAGAGAACATGCATTGATTATCCTGTACTCTTACCTTGGAATTTGTTGAATGACATTGAAAGTCTCTGAGCCTTTGCCTATTTTGACTAGTAGAAAACATTTAGGGGGCTAAGAAATGGCTTCGTAAAGTGTTTGCTGCACAACTATGAGGCCCTGAGCTCAGGCCCCAGTACCTACTTTTTTTAAAAAGCTGGCAAAGACAGGCAGATTTCTACAGTTAATCAGCAAGCTGGCCTAGCTGAATTGATTAGCTCTGAGATTAGTAAGAAACACCATCTTAAAAAAATAAGGTGGAGCTGGGCATGGTGGTGCACGCCTTTGGTCTCAAAAAGACCCCAAAAAAAAAAAAAAAAAAAAAAAAACGGTGGAGAGGGATTGAGGAAGACACCCAACATTGACCTCTGGCCTTCACACAAATGAGCACACATGCATCAAACTCACACAAACACATACACATGCATATACCACGCACTCATGTAGACACTCCAGAACTAAAACTAGTTTTTTTTTTTAATGTGTGTGAGTGTTTAGCCTGCATTTATGTAAATTCACCTATGTCATCAATGCCCACAGAGTCTAGAAGAGGGCCTAGAACTGGAGTCAGGGAAAGTTGTTGACTGCCATGTGGGTGTTGGGACCCAAACCCAGGTCCTCAGCAAGAAGAGCCAGTGCTCTTAACCACTGAGCATCTCTCCAGCCCCCAGAGATTATTTTTTTAATATTTTATTTGTTTTTTGGTTCTGGGGTTTTTTCGGTCTTTTTGAGACAGGGTCTCCCTGTAGTCCCAGCTGTCCTGGAATTCATTATGTAGACCAGGCTGGCCTTGAACTCACAGAGCTCTGCCTGCCTCTGCCTCCTGAGTGCTGGGATTAAAGGCGTGCGCCACCGTACCCGGCTTTTATTTGTTATTTTTATTTTATGTGTATGTGCGTATTGCCTGCATGTATGTAAGTGCACCCATGTCATGCATGCCCATGGAGGACAGATGAGGCTGTCAGATCCCCTGGAACTGGAGTTATGGACAGTTGTTAACTGCCTGGGATTCGAACCCAGGTCTTTTGCAAGAACAACCAGTGCTCTTACCACTGAGCTATCTCTCCAACCCCAAGATTATATATTTTTTAAATACTCTTTAAGGATTCTACAACTTTGTAGTTATTTTAATGTAGCCAAGCATGGGGGCACACATCTTAATCCTGTGCTCAGGAAATAGAGGCAAGAGGAACAGTAGTTGAAGAAAGGCTTTGACTATGTAGCAGTTCAAGGCCAGTCTCAAAAAAAAAAATTTCCTTAATAAAAATTAACTAGTGTGTTACCCTTGACTAAACTGGTGTTTTGAAAAATAAGGTTAGCCAGTCTACATAGTGAGTTCCAGGCCAGCTGGAGCTACAGGGAGACCTGTCTCAAAAAGACGGAAAAAAAAAAAAAAAGAGGAGGAGCTGAAGAGATGGCTCAGTGGTTAAGAACACTGGTTGTTCTTGCAGCAGACCTGGGTTGGAATCCCAGCACCCACATGACAGCTAACAACTGTCCGTAACTCCAGTTCCAGGGGATCCAATGGCCTCTTCTGTCTTCCTCGGGCATTGCACAACACAGGTACACTTACCTACATGCATGCCATACACTCATACACATAAAATAAAAATAATATAAAAAAAGAAAAGGAAAAGAAAAATGTTCAGGCGTGGTGGCGAACATATGTATGAGTGTTTTGTCTGTATATTGTAAGTGTACCATGTGTGTGCAGTGGCTACAGAAGTCAGAAGAGGGCATTAGTTCCCCTGGAACTGGAGTTACAGATTGTTCTCAGTCACCAAACTGAACCCAGGTCTTATGAAAGGGCATCCAGTGCTCTTAACTGTTGTCCAGTCCCTTAACTAGATCATTTTTAATGGTTGCTGAATATTCCATGACATAGATATAACAAAATTTAACTGATTCTTATTTTTCAAAAAATTTGTTTTAATTTTTTTGTTATTAATAGAACACTGACAAATATTCTAAGAGTTAAAATCTTTGTATACACCCATGGTTCTTATCTCAAAGTAAATTCTTAGAATTACTAGATTAAAAATGATAAGGAATATTGGTAAATTACTCTCTAAAAAGGTTACTTTAGTTTACTCTAACACTGGTTAAATGATGCTGTTCTTTAAATCCTTGTTAATGCCCTATAATTTAAACTTTTTTTTTTTTGTCTTTTTGAGACAGGGTCTCTCTGTAGCCCCGGCGGTCCAAGACTCCTTTTGTAGGCCTGGCCGGGCCCCAACCCCAAAGAGCCCCCCCTGCCTCTGCTTCCTGAGTGCTGGGATTAAAGGCATGCACCACCATACCCGGCTAAAATATGTTTTGTGGGGTTTTTTTTTTTTTTGGTCTTTTTTAGGTGGGGCTCCCTGTAGTCCCAGCTGTCCTGGAACTCACTATGTAGACCAGGCTGGCCTTGAACTCACAGAGATCCACCTGCCTCTGCCTCCAAGTGCTGGGTAAAATATGCTTTTTAATGATCTAGTTAAGGGGGCTGGAGAGATGGCCCAGTGGTTAATAGCACTGGCTGCTCTTACAGAGGAGCCAGGTTCAGTTCTCAGCATCCACTTGGCAAGTAACAACCTCTGTAACTCCACTTCCAGTGCATCCACTGCCCTCTTCTGACTTCCTCAGGCATTGCATGCACAGGTGCACTTACACACATGCACATAAAATACTTATACATGGAGCTGGACAGATGGCTCAGCGGTTGAGAGTGCTGACTGCTCTTGCAGAGGACCTGGGTTCAATTCCCAGCACCCACATAGCGGCTACAAACTGTCCTTAACTCCAGTTCCAGGGGAATCCGAAGCCCTCTTCTGACCTCCACAGCATTGCACAACACAGGTGTATGTATATGCATGCAAGTAATACACTTGTACACATAAAATAAAAATAATAAATAAAATATTTTAAAAACTAAATAATAGATCAGTTAATGACACTAAAATGATCAAAGGTAAGATGAAGGAAAATAAAATGTTTCAGAAGAATGAGCAGATTGTTGTTCTAACCTTTCAGCAACTTCTCTTTCACCAGCTGTCCTGGAACTCATTATGTAGACCAGGCTGGCCTTGAACTCAGAGATCCGCCTGCCTCTGCCTCCTAAGTGCCGGGACTACAGGCATGCGTCACCATGCCCAGCATTAAATAAAATATTTTTTAAAAACTACTCATATGCATAAAATAAAAATAAAAACAAAAAATGTTGGGGCTGGAGAGATGGCTCAGTTGTTAAGAGTACTGGTTGTTCTTGCAGAAGACCCAGGTTCGAATCCCAGCACCCACATGGAAGCTAACAACTGTCTGTAACTCCAGGTCCAGGGGATCTGAGGGCCTCTTCTGTCCTCCACAGGCATTGTACAACACAGGTGCACTTACCTACATGCAGGCAATACACTCATACACATAAAATAAAAATAATTTTTAAAAATGTTAATGATCTAGCTAAAAGTACACATGGTAGAATAACCAGAGCTGTTCTTAGAAATGCTTTAGATGTTTAAAGAACTAGGTGACTGAGGCAACAAGAATGGTAAAAATCATTAGATCAGTGCTTCCTGGGTGTTAAAGGACAGAGCCTGATGATGTAATCTATCTAGATTATCTTCATGGAGCCTGCGAGAATCATAGAGAATATACTATAACGTGGTTCTATGCCAAGGGAAACAAATCTTTGAAAAATTGTTGAGATTTGTAGTTTTCTAAGGATATAGTCACAACATGATTCTGAGGACACGGTCATGAGTACCATAGGTTCGTAGACCTATTTTTCACTGGGTATTGTCATTTCTCTTCCCCTTCCCTAGCTTCATGTCTTAAGGATGCTTCAAGATAGAGAACCTTGGATTTCAGGGAAGAAATTTTCCAGAGATGATATTCTGTAGAATTCAAGAATTAGAAGAGTTTGAGATACACATGGGTTTGAGCTTTTTAGTACCCCATAATTCTACAGTGCTCATTTCTAGGCATATCTTTCAGGTCTGCATTACAGAGTTTACACAAGGCTTGCGAAGTGGCCAGAATGCATAACTACTATCCAGGCAGCCTGTTTCTCACCTGGGTGAGTTACTATGAGAGCCATATCAACTCAGATCAGTCCTCAGTCAATGAATGGAATGCTATGCAAGATGTGCAGTCTCATCGGCCAGACTCTCCAGCTCTCTTCACTGACATGTAAGTTGGCTTGCTGAGGATTATAGAAATCCTGTTGTGTCCTAGGCAGCATGTTCCTTCAGAACTAATAATCCTGCCCCATGACAGTAGTCACTATACACCATGTTTCTGTCATATGTAATGAATTTCTTTCTGTCATGTACAAAGGCCTTAAGAATTTCACTTCTAGGTGCAATGGCATCTTCATAATCAAAACTGCAATGCTCTAAATCTATTCTTCAGATTCCACTAATTTGAAATTTGAATTTAAAGGAATTGGGCTGCAATTTGCTTTCACATTATCTCTGAAAAGGAACATTTGAGAAATTGATGGCAAGAACCTTTTAGAGGGACATCAGTAGTACTTAAGAAATTAAGATGGGGGCTGGAGAGATGCTTAGTGGTTAAGAGCACTGTTAGCCACATAGCAGCTAACAACCGTCTGTAACTCCAGTTCCGGGGGAATATGAGGCCCTCTTCTGACTTCTACAGGCATTGCGTGCACATGGTATACTTACACACATAGGCAATACACTCATGCACATTAAATAAAAATAGTAAAAAAATAAAAAGAAATTAAGATGGCTTTCAAAGAACAGCAGTTGCATCTGCAAGTACTGCTCAAGGAACCATTTTCATTTACTATTGCAAGCAGTAGAAGCTATTTGTACCACCACCCCACTCCCCAGCCCCCCAAAATGAGGATTTTCTAGTCCATTTAAATGAATGCCTAGGTTGTTCAGGTCCATTTTTTGTTTTATTTTTATTTTTATTTTTATTTTTTGTCTTTTTGAAGCAGGGTCTCCCTGTAGCCCCAGCTGTCCTAGAACTCACTATGTAGACCAGGCTGGCCTTGAACTCACAGAGATCTGCCTGCCTCTGCCTCCCAAGTGCTGGGACTACAGGCGTGCACCACCACACCTGGCTCATTTGTTTTATTTTTAGAACATCTTATTCAGGTGTCTTACTTTGCTCTACCTTTGCCTTGTTAGGTCCTTGTCAGGTTTTACTAAATCTCCTTTGTGTTCTGTGAGTTGGATAAATGCTTTAATTGAAGTTGATACTTATTTTCCTTTTTTTTTTTTTTTTTTTTTTTTTTTTCTTTTTTTGGTGTTTTTGAAACAGGGTCTCCCTGTAGCCCCAGCTGGCCTGGAACTCACTATGTAGACCAGGCTGGCCTGGAACTCACAGAGATCCACCTGCCTCTGCCTCCCAAATACTGGGACTAAAGGTTGTGCAACCATACCTGGCCTATTTTAGAATATTTTTATACTTAGTTCCTGCTTTGGAAACAAGCTAACAGGGATATTTTGGGGATTTTTTTTTTTTTGGTTGGTTTTTAGTTTTTTTCTTTCTTTCTCTGAATTGATCTTTTTACATTTGCAAATTATTCTAAAGCTGGTAAAGCAGTATACCTACCCATTATACAACTTGACAAACAAGATTTGCCTTAAGAGTCCTAAAGTCATAGGAAGGCATTTCATAATTTTTTAAAGCTCAATTTAGATAATAGTCTAATACTTTTTACTAGAAAAGGTAAAATTTCTAAGAATTATGTTCAAGAAACAAAAAAAAAAATCAGTCTTTTTTTTAAACAGGTTGTTACTGATTCTAGTGTCTCTTTTCCAATAGCCCTAGTTCCTTCAAGATCCCATAGTAACTAAAAAGATAGGAATTTGTAGAAAATGATGGTCAAACATTGTTCTACTTTGTTCCTCCATTGCTGTAACAAAACAGTCTGACCAATACCAACTTGGGGAGGAAAAGGATTATTTAACTTACATCTCCCAGATCACAGTTCATCAGGGAGCCCAAGATAGGAACTCAGGGCACAAACCTAGAGGCAGGAGCTGGAGCACAGGCCATGGAGGAACACCACTTACTGGCTTGTTCCCCTGGCCCCTGCTCAGCCTGCTTTCTTTTCTTTCCTTTTTTCCTTCTTTCCTTCTTTCTTTCTTCCTTTTTTTAATATTTTCTTTATTATTTTTATTTTATGTGTATGAGTGTATTGCCTGCAAGTATGTGAGTGTACCTGTGTTATGCAGTGCCACTGAGGTCAGAAGAGAGCTTCAGATTCCCCTGGAATTAGAGTTAAGGACAATTCATAGCCACCATGTGGGTGCTGCAAATCGAACCTGGGTCATCTGCAAGAGCAGTCAGTGCTCTTAACTGCTGAGCCATCTCTCCAGCCCCTCAGCCTGCTTTCTTATGCCACACAGGCCTACCTGACCAGGGGTGGCACTAACAGTGGGCTGGGCCCTCCCACATCACTCAACAATCAAGAAGATGCCCCACAGACATGGCCACAGGCCAGTCCAATGGAGGCAATTCCCCAATTGAGGCTCCCTCAACCCTGGTGTGTCAAGTTGACACTAAAGCTATCCAACACAAACATTTTGAAGAAAATGTTCATGATTTCGTAAGTACAACTGGTTGATGGGTTTCATTCTAAGCCATACTTAACATAAGAAAACTTCATAGGCATGGTAGCACACAGCACACTTGGATGAGTAAGGCAGGGTTTAAAGTTTCAGGCCAGCCTGGGCTACATATAATGAGATCCCCCCCATCACAAAATAACAAAGAAAAAATGTATTTTTAAAAAAATCAGAGTGATTAAGAGCACTGACTGCTCTTTGCAAAGGACCCAGGTTCAATTCCTAGCACCACATGGTGGCTAACAACTGCAGGTAACTTCAGTTCCAGAAGATTCAATGCCTTCTTCTGACCTCCATGAACATTGTACAACACAGCTGCACTTACACATGCGGGCAATACAGTACACAGTACACAGTACGGAAGGAAGAGAAAAGAAACTGCTCTGTTTCTCTAACCAAAAAGAAAGTGAAAGGTACAACCTAGTAGATGCTCATTCTTAGTATGTCCAGTAGCGTCAGTTTTAAGGTATATTTAGTAAACAGAAAAAGGAAGAAGTGGAAACTGTAGGCCAGAGTACTGATGATGATTATCTCTGGAGAATGTGATTTTCAGTTTTGTTTTCTTTATATTTTTTCCCAAATGTTTTTCCAGTGATGTTGAAGAGAAAAAGTATTTTTGTGCTGTAATACATTTTCTATGTTCTCTTCCTACCCAATTTGACTAGAAAGGCCTATAAAAGAATAGTGAGAATGCAGGAAAAATGTGTGCTAAAATGGATTTACAGTACTCTATCATGAGCAGCATATATTTGAAATCTAAGAAGGGGGAAGAAAGGCATATACATGTGTGGTTCCCAAGTATATATCTAATACCATGCCAGGCTCCTCATACATGGTATGTTATTTAAGCCTCATAAGAATCTCAGGGGGAGCGGCTGGAGAGATGGCTTAGTGGTTAAGAACACTGACTGTTCTTGCAGAAGATCCTGGTTTGAATCCCAGCACCCATATGGCAGCTAACAACTGTCTGTAACTCCAGTCCCAGGGGATCCGACAGCCTCTTTTGACCTCTGTGGGCATTGCACAACACAGGTGCACTTAACTACATGCAGGCAATACACTCATACACATAAAATAAAAATAATAAATAAAATTTTAAAAAAAAAGAATCTCAGGGGAAGCTGAGTGTGGTGGCGCACACCTTTAGTCCCAGCACTCGGGAGGCAGAGACAGGCATATCTCTGTGAGTTCGAGGATAGCCTGGTCTACATAGCAAGTTCCAGGCCAGCTGGGGCTACAGGGAGACCCTGTCTCAAAAAAGAAAAAAACAAGAATCCCATGGGGCTAGAGAGATGGCTCAGTGGCTAACAACACTGGCTGCTCTTGTAGAGGACTTGGGTTCATTTCCCAACATCCACATGGCAACTAACAACCATCCATAACTCTGGTTCCAGGGGAATCCAGTAGATGCACTTATATACATGCAGGCAATACACTCATACACATTAAAAAAAAAAACAAATATTTTTAAAAAAAGAATCTCAGGAGTGAGATGTCTCGGCAGTTATAAGCACTTGCTGTGAGAGCCTAAAGATCTGAGTTCAATCCTAGGAACCATGGTGGGAGGAGAATCTACTGAAAGTTGTCCTATGACCTTTACACATGCACTGGTGTGAGCCCCCCTCCAGGATAATTTGGGGTGGGGGGTGTTGAGGTAGGATCTCCCTGTAGCCCCAGCTGGTCTGGAACTTCCTATGTAAACCAGGCTGGCCTCAGTCTCACGGAGATCTGCCTGTCTCTGCCTCTGGAAAGCTGAGATTAAAGATATATACCACCATGCCTGGCATAATAAGTTTTAAAAAGTCTCTCAGAGTTGGAAAGATGGTTCAGCAGTTAAAAGCACTTGCACTCGCAAAGTACCTGGGTTCAGTTCCCGGCATCCACAGCTAGCAACCATCTGTAATTCCAGTTCCAGGGGATCCAGCATCCTTTTCTGACTTCTGCAGTCACTGTACACACATGTACTTACATACATTTAAGTTATACATTAAAGAGTTAAAAATTGTGCTGGGCATGGTGGCGCACACCTGTAGTCCCAGCACTTGGGAGGCAGAGGGGCAGATCTTTGTGAGTTCGAGGCCAACCTGGTCTACATAGTGAGTTCCAGGACAGCTGGGGCTACAGGGAGACCCTGTCTCAAAAAGACAAATAAAAATAAAAATAAAAAATTTAAAATTAATTTTTTTTTAAATCTCAAGAGACAGATATTATTGTAACAGAGGCTCAAGGAAAAGAAGGACCTTATTCAGGTTATATCAACAGTAACAGGACTGTGATCTAGGTCTGTCTACTCCCAAACCATTGTGCCTCAGAGTATGAAGAACTAGGAGAAAAAATGCTTAACTACAAAATCTAACCCATGCATGCACACAGGTACTAAAATCTGTTTTTGCCAATATGTCTTTTTAGTGAATGACTATTACAGCACATTTATTTGCACATTAGCTATGTCTAAGAAAAGTGAGGCATGCCAGGCATGGTGGCGGATGCCTGTAGTCCCAGCACTCGGGAGGCAGAGGCAGGTGGATCTCTATGAGTTTGAGGCCAGCCTGGTCTTCATAGGGAATCCAGGCCAGCTGAGGCTACAGGGAGACCATGTCTCAAAAAGGCAAAAAAAAGAGAAAAGTGAAGCCTAAATAAGAATTTTACTCCTCATCAAGGCAAAGGTGCCTTTGCTAATTAATAGAGAATGGTGCAGGTGTTCACTGTAGTCTGCATTGTTCAGGAGAAGCTGAGTGCCTGAGTGCTATGGAGCTCCAAGGCTGTGGTGTCACAGCCTACATCTTTGGAGATTACCAAAGCTATTTTTGCAGCCAGTGATAAGGCTGTAAGCAGCAAGGGCAGGCAGGATGCCTGAAGGCTTACGCCATGTCCATCACCAAATAAGGACATGCAGAGCAGCTACCTTTCTTCAGTAGGTAGGGGCAGAAGATAGAACAGAAAGTATACCTTATCACTCAAATTCTGAATAATACAAAGCAGTGCCTTTAGAGGGAAGCATCCAATTATGTTGCAACTGTGCTTTTCAAATAAGTGGAGAGTCAGCTACTTAGTTTGATTTTTGTATTAAAGTTTCAAGAGTAACTTTATTTTAAAATGAGTCAGATGACTAAAGAAAACAACACAGTCCTGCAGATAGAGCTTAGCAGCAGTTTGATTTTCCTGCCAGTATGTGTGATCATCAGTATGTCATTTAACATGTTTGTTTCCTTAACTACAAAATGAAGATTAAAAATTTCACAGGAATAAGCAGGAAGAAAAGGGCAGTGATGGCATGTCCATAACTCTAGTACTTGGCAAGCTAAAGCCAGGAGGATTACAAATTCTAGGCCAACATAGACTACATGGGCAGACCTTGTCCCAAAAATATAGCACAAAGCTTCAGAAAGATGTTCTAAGAGTAGTCATGAAAAGGAAGGCATTTTTGAATGGGAGTACTCTAGATAGTTGATCCCTAGAACCTAGTTTGGAATAAAACTTGCAGTATTAGCCCAGTGGTGGTGCATGCCTTTAATCCCAGCACTTGGGAGGCAGAGGCAGGCGTAGTAATTTCTTTCTTTTGTTGTCATTGTTAGCTTGTTTTTTAAGACAAGGTCTTCCTGTAACCCCAGTTGGCATGGAACTTGCTATGTTGACCATGGCCTTGGTCTCACAGAGATCCCCTGCCTCTGCTCCCCAAGTGCCGGTAGTAAAAGCGTATGCCACCACACACAGCTTTCAAGTAGTAATTTCAAGTAGCAATGTTTACATCCTATACATTCTTTAAAACTTTTGGTTAGTTGGTTCTTTGGTTTGGTTTCGAGGGGGGGTTCTGTTAGTTTGTTTTTTGGTTTTATTTTGTTTTAGACAGTATCTCACTATGTAGTGCCTACACTAGCCTGGAACTCACTGTGCAGTCCAGGCTGGCCTTGAACTTGTGGTAACCTTCCTTACAAGTGTGTGCTCCTGTACCCAGCTAAAATAAGCTTTTTAAGGTGCAGTCTTCATTTGCTATACTACAATATAAATGTCAGAGTCACAGAGGCAAAGCTTGCCCATTTGGAAACATAATCAAATGGTGCATTCATTATCTTGATTAAATTCTTGTTTAAGAAAAATCACTATTTGTATATTCTCAGACCAACTGAACGTGAGCGAACAGAAAGGCTTATTAAAACCAAATTAAGGGAGATTATGATGCAAAAGGATTTGGAGAACATCACATCCAAAGAGGTAAGCCAACTTGAGTCCTCTTGTTTCAAAGCTGGAAGTAGGATAACAATAGGTGTTGGGGCTAAATGACTGAAAGTACAGACAACTTTACAGAGACTAATAGATATATCCCCCTTTGTTTCAGATTCGGACAGAGTTGGAAATGCAAATGGTGTGCAACTTGCGGGAATTCAAGGAATTCATAGATAATGAAATGATAGTGATCCTTGGTCAGATGGATAGTCCTACACAGATATTTGAGCATGTGTTCCTGGTAAGTTTTAGGGCCTCTTAAAGTGATGTACTAAAACTAGCCTGGCTGGTAATCCCAGCACTCAGGAGGCAGAGGTAGACAGATCTCTGAGTTTAAGGCCAGCTTGGTCTGCATCATAACTTCCAGGTCCGCAGGGACTACAGGGAGACCCTGTCTCAAAAAAACCAAAAAAAAAAAAAAAAAAAAAAAAAACCAAAACAAACAAACAAAAAAAAAACCCAACCAAACACTAGCCTGTATGAACTCAAGACAGGGAGGGAGACCATTGTTACATCTTATTTAAATATAATAAAATGTAGCAAGAATTACAAACATAGGTAATCTGTACTCAAACCTCATTATTTCCTAATCATTTTTCTACATTAATCTACTAATACTGCTACTATTGTCTGTTTTAAGATTTATTTACATGTGTTGTATGGTAGAAATGTTAGAATGGTTTACTACCACTCATCTCTTCCCAGTTCCTCTTTCAGCGACATTAATCTGGTTGATTAAAATTCACTATGGCTCAGTTTATCTGGTCCAATGGTATGTCCTTAAACACCCAAAAGGGAAGTATAACCAAA